CTGTCATCTAGTAAGTGAAGAGCAAAGAGAGTATTTATTTTGGCAAAGACAGTATTTTATTTTCACAAAGGGCAAACAAATTATTTATGTTGGTATTCATTTTGTATTCAGTGCTGGATGCAGGTTTAGTGGGGCTGGCACTTATCTATTCTGTATTACTCAATGGTGAATTTCAAACCTGTATCAGAGATGGTACTTAAGTAGAAAGTTTTGTTAGTCAACATGCAATGAAAGAAGCCTTTAATTTTTATCATATACCTTTAGGTGGTTTCAGCAGAGAGGGTGATGGCTCATGGTCCCTTGGAAACTGAGTCATCCTTAGAAACTGATCCTTCAGTATCACTGAGTTCAGACTGCCCAGCAAATAAATCTTGGCAAGATTTGTAAGAAAGATTCTTGCAAGATTTGTTACAATAATCTTGGCTCTTAGCAAGATTATGAAACACCAATCTTGGTAAGATCTTTGTAAGATCTGACAAAATCTTGATAAAATTGCTCGCAAAGATTGATACAATAAGCAAAACAAATTAACCATAGTAATGAGTTCAAGAGAATTGTTCAATGTTTACACGTCATCATTGGTAATGATACTCTCTACCAGTGCACTTTCTTCATCTTCTTTCTTAACAGAACTTTTGCCTTTGTCTCTACATTTCTGGTTGCATTTTTCCACTATTGATGAAAATTTAGATTTGACTGCTTCCTGTCCAAATTCAGTAGTTACATGTGCTATATAAATGGTGTAAGAAATAAATATTAAATGTGCACAAAATCTTACCAAAGAGCTTTCTAACTCTCTCTCTGTCTAATTCTTCTTTATTGGAACGAGATTTCTTCTTCTTAATAAACAAATGGGTTTTCATCTCTTCATCTGTGAACAGTGTATCCATAAGGCTTAGAGCAAAAGATTCAGGTGTTTTTTTAGGCATTTTTAAAATAGCCAAATCATCCTCCTATAAGTTAACTATAGAGTTACTGCATTTATTATTATTGTGTACAAATACCTTAGTATCTGGAAATGGAGAAATACGTGGTGAGACTACTTGTTTAGATATCTCCGAATCAGAACTAGACTATAATACAAAACACTGAATAAATACAAAGAATATCATAAGTACATACTCTACTTACAGTACTATGAATCCTTAAACTTCCTGTTCTTAAGTAATCCAGTACTTGTGTCAGTTTCTTGTCTATACTAATTAACAGTTCCTAAAATATATAGACCTCTTTGGGTGAGAATGAATTACGTCAAAGAATGATATACGGCAAGGGGCGTGACTGAGCCTGGCTGACTCTGAAATAATTTTCGTGGACGGCAACTTTCTATGGAGTATGAATGGGCTAATGCAGAAAGCAAGCTCTATTAAAGAATGTGCTTCATATTGCACCAAATCCCTTTTAGGAGATGCTTAGCAGCGACCATTCTTTCCTCCAACCAGCTTTTGTAGCTTGAAAAAGCTCCATGCCAACGTAAAGAATCAATTTTGCCTTTTCTTCATTCATCCTCCATTGAATCTTGCCGTCCAAAATGGCGGCCCATTATCACCGTAGGTGGATACCGTAATGAACAGTAATGATATTCATAGGCCACCGTCAATCTCACCTGAAGAGGTCTATTAATCATTAGCACATACATGTCAACAAAAAACTAACATTATTAGGTGCACCCTCAGGTAATTCATACACACCAGAAATACTTGAATTTGGAGTACTGACACTGGACTTTGGAGTACTGAAGGTGAATTTGGAAGTACCCTCTATTTTATATAGTAATACATGCAGTTATTATAACAATTACATTTCGTACCAGTGCTCTTGCTTGCATCTGAGCCAAGATCTAGAAAAATTAGGAATCTGAATAAATGTAATAAATGTACCTATTTTCTTGGGTTGTAGTTTAAACTTTGAAGGTGACAAAGATGGAGACAACTTACCATTGTTGCCATTATCATCATCGTCACTTGAAACAGAGTCTTTAGAACTTCTTTTCTTCAATACTTTCTTAATGGGTACAGGGCCTTTGTGATCACCTATAAAAGTTATAAATAAAAAAAAAACAATTATTTTACTTTCAATATGGGATAACATGAAAAAGTAATTAATTTTACATAGTTGATTTCTTTAAATTGTACTCTAATAGCATAAACTTTATTCTTTTTAATGCTGTAAATTAAATGCAGTTGTTTACAACATGTTACACACAATTCTGTGTATAGTATCTGTTATACTCACCATCTGGAAGCTTTATTATTTCCGCTGCATATCCTGTCCTTCCCCTGTGCATCCACACTACTTTAGTTCCAATATCTAAATCTTCCTCATTTGCTGGAATGCCCCCAATCTCCAACTCTTTCAAAGCGACATCATATTCCTTATCATTCGAATCAAGCACTATCTGGTACATTCCTTCAGCTAAAAACCAAAATGCCAGGTATAAGGTCACGTGACATTCCAGGCAACTCACTACTTGTGTCTTTCACTGTAACACTCGCTGTAACATTCTCCTTGATTTGAGTGTAATCTTTAAGATGCGCTGGAGGATTTCTTGATCTTTTTCTCGTAGCCATTTAAACCAAACCTGGTGCTAAATCTGCTAATCAAGCCAATCCAAACAACAAACTGACAAGTGACAAAGAGTGAGAAGTGAAAACGTGACAATTTTACAATGTCACGTGCACCATGTGACACTCTACACCCGTACCCGTACGTACCCTCCCACTACAGTAATTAGTAATAATGGAGCTGCAAAGAAGAAAAAGGTACAACAGAGATCATACCTGTCCTGTACCACGAGCCACTCGTTGGCGTCAGTCTAACGATTCTTTCGAAACATTGCCAGAAAGTACTAGCACTAAACATTATTCAAACTACCTCCAGTTCTCAGAAGAGCTAATTGAGGCTAACCTGATGTGTCAAGAATCTACATTTACTAGTACAATCTTACAAAGTAGGCTGAGTTTCATTGTCATTTTGTACTAAACTTAATCTACTTTGTAGGTGACAAATTTACAGATTTAGATTTAGATTTGGAAATAGAAGCCCTAAGTAGTGGCAGTAGTGATGAGTCAGCCTCAGATGTTGAAGATACTGACTGCAGTGCCCTTTGTAGTTTGATCAATACTGCTACTGAGAATGCTGATAACGGCAGTTTAGGCTCTGTTCTTTCTGACATTGATGGCGAAGAAACTGAATCTGTTGTTGATGATGCTGTAGTTGATGATTGTTTACCATTAATTCACACAGGCGACAGTAATGATTGGGATATTTTTGATATTGATATTGGTAATTATTTATTACAGTGCACAAAATCATCATGCATGTAAATTTGTTTCACACATATTTTTATGAAGTATCATGCTGTTTGTTTACATTTACAGGAGATGAGCTGTTATCAACAACTGAACAAGTGTTTGACAAATCAGGAGTAAGTGTTGCAGCAGCGTGGCATGGGATTATGGACTTCGCCATTCACCATCACCTTCCCTATTCGGCTATACAAAATTTGTTAAAATTACTTTCCTTTATCTCACCTGAAAACAATCATCTTCCGAAGACTCTGCATTTACTGAAAAAGCAATACAAATTAGAAGTTCCAGAAAAGAAAAAGTATTGTTCTCATTGTCTTCAGATTGTTCCAGCAAATGAAGCTAAATGTAGTAAATTAGTGTGTAAAAAACTTTGTGCTGATATTTGTTGGTATGTACATGTACCTATTGCTGAACAGATAAAAGTATTATTTGAAGGTAAAATAATAATAATTATTATAACTGGTAACATTTATTTACTGTAGAATGTTGGGAGATTCTGCAATATCCATTTACACGAAGGACGGAACCTGGTTACTTACATGATATACATGATGGATCTGTTTTTTTAGAATTAAGTAAGTCAGGCCGCTTTTTTTCATACAGAGAACACACGGGGTTAATCTTAAATACCGATGGAGTAGCTACTTTTCAATCTACAATGCACACTCTTTGGCCAATTTATTTTGCTGTAACGAGCTTACCCCCACATTTGCGAATGAATAAAGAATATATACTACTTGGAGGAGTCTGGTTTGGTCCCAAGAAGCCCAACATGTCAATAATTTTGGAACCCGTGTTGAAGGAGTTGCATCAACTATATTGTTCTGGAGTTGAGGCAAAAATTTCAGGCATCACAACAGTGATTCGAGCAAAGTTGCTTTTGTCAGTCTTTGATCTACCAGCCAAAGCAGCTGTTGTGAACTTGAAACAATTTAATGGTCGATATGGCTGTCTTTACTGTACTAATCCTGGAGAAAATGTTACTCCAGGATGTTCTGTTTATTTGCCTTCTGCTCAACAACATGCCACAGAGCGAACCAACTCACTTATGATTGCATGGGCATCAGATGCTGAAATTGGTGGTGAATCTGTGTATGGTGTCAAAGGTCATTCTATTTTGTCTTCAGTAATTGACATAGTGAATGGTGTCCCAATCGACTACATGCACGCTGTCCTAGAAGGTGTTACTAAATACTTCACTTCAATGTGGTTGAATTCAAAATATCACCAATGTTCGTTCTATCTTGGGAGGAAAACAAAAGAAATAGATAAAATACTACTGCAACTTAAGCCTCCTGGGCAATTTCATAGGTCTCCAAGGGAAATTTCTCATATAAAATTGTGGAAGGCATCTGAACTACGTGCATGGCTCCTATTTTATTCACTTCCAATCTTGCAGCATTATTGGCCATCAGAATATGTTCATCACTGGTCTCTCCTTGTCTTTTCAATGCATCTATTGCTATCAAGCAGAATTGCTATAAGTGACATTGAAGTTGCTGAAAGTGCATTAAAGACATTTTATCAAAGGGTACCTGAAATGTATGGTGATTCTGCATGTACAGCTAATGTCCACTCTTTAATTCATGTGACTCAGATGGTGAAACTATGGGGTCCATTATGGACACACTCATTATTTGGTTTTGAAAACATGAATGGACATATCCGTAAATTGTTCCATGGTACAAGACAGATACTAGACCAATTAGTATTTTATGTCACAGCTCATAGATCTTTATGCTTTCAGACTAGACTCCTTTGTGCAGAACATGAGAGATGTTACTTCAGTCAATTTGATTGTGACTCTAGTGTGTCGGGTTATTCTTTTGAAGGAAAGAGTCATAAAGTTTCATTGCCATTGGAGCTACATGCTATAGTTGAGCATTTTGTTAGTCATAAAGTCGTCAATACTCATACCTTAAGCAGTAAGTTTCGCAAAGGATGTACACTGTATAGTTGTAAGTATTTTTCACAAGAAAAATCTCGCAATAGCAATGTCTGTTTTTTTGAAGCAATAAATGGAGAAATAAAGATTGGATGTATCAAGCTATTTCATATAGATTTTAAACTTGCACTTATCACTCCATTCAATGTTACTGGTAGATTTTTGTCGTCATTGAGGAAATCGAGAAATGATACAGTTGCTGAGGAATGCGGAAAGCTAATGAGTATGAATTTTTTTTTTGTAGTTGAAGACACAAATACTCAACTTGCTATTCCTCTTCACAATATTTTGGAGAACTGTATATTATTAGAAATTAACAATGACAAACTAGTAGTGAAGTCTCCAAATGAGTTTGAATTTCATTGATTAATCATTATTATTTTATCATTATTATATCATTTCACCATTAACAATTATAACAAAAAGTAATGCATTTTGTGCCAAAAATAATTGAAACTTTAGTTAAAATGAGTATAGATCTTGGTAAGGTCTTATTAAGATCTTGGCACTTTTGGGATCTTGGCTTTATCTTACCAAGATCTCAGCAAGATCCCGTAAGATTTTTCTCCTGGGTGGCCAACCAAGGGACATATTGAACTGAAAGATGTCTCCTATTGTCACTCAAATGAAGGACCATTTGTACTTAGAGGAATTACATGTGATATTAAACCTAGTGAAAAAGTATATGAAACAGTGAATTATTATTTTGATAAATATTAGATTGGTATTGTGGGTCGTACTGGAGCTGGTAAGTCATTTCTCATTGGGGCATTGTTTAGACTAGCTGAACCAGGTGGTAGTATTAAAATTGATGGAGTAGAACTCACTCAACTGGGACTCCATGATGTTAGGAGTAATATGTCAATTATTTCACAAGTCAGTTTTATTTCATTTGGTACAGATAATCATTCTTTTGCATACTGCATGTAGGATCCGGTATTGTTTGGTGCATCAGTGCATTATAATTTAGATTCATTTAAACAATATAATGATGATAAGATATAGAAGTCATTAAAACAAGTATGGTTTTAGAATTATCTATCATATACACATGCATGTGTGTATATACATGTAGGTTCCACTAAAGAATGTAATTGATAGTCTTAAAGGAAGATTGGAGAGTAGTGTAAGTGAAGGAGGTGCCAACTTTACTGTGGGACAAAGGCAATTGCTCTGTTTAGCCAGAGCTCTCCTTCAAAACAACAATATTATCATATTAGATGAAGCCACTGCTAATGTAAATTTGGAGTGAGTTTGAGTTTTCATGTAGTTTCAAATAGTATCTTTTATGAATCAGGACTGATGCTATTATTCAGCAAGTGATACGACAACAGTTCTCTGGTAGTACTGTCTTAATTATTGCTCATAGACTTGTTACTGTCATGGATTACAGTATGATTATGGTATATCTTTATACTTATTGGCATACAATACTATTATTTGCATGCCATTTAAATTTAGGTACTGAGATCAGGTCAACTGGTAGAGTTTGATGTCCCTCATTTGCTCCTGAATAATTCCTCATCATATCTCAGTAAACCAGTTAAACAAACGGGATCAATTAATGCTACTAAATTGAGAAATATTGCCTTTGAATCATACCATAAGCATAATCAAGGGCAATCATATTTAGTCATTCATATTTTGTATAATGACAATAGATTTTAAATATACATGTAATTACCTTTCCTTACAGCTCAAACTTAAGAGGATTGCAATTTGTTACTATTTATTAGTAACCAAACTCGCCATTTATTTTACATACTAGCTGGCATGTACACATTACATTAGTACATTCACATGTAGATCTACATCTGCATCTTTTCTTTTTATAGCGTTCATAGTAAATTATTATGTGAGTACCTCCTTGATAATATTTTGAGTCTTGTGCTCATTTCTACCACTAACTGATACAGCAGGACAAGGATTAACATGTACTAACAATGAAGATGTCACTAGAGCTACATGTAAATGCTAATTGCACTCATTAATACCTTAATTAGCAAATAGCCACAGCTTTAATGCTCATAAAATGATGACCAATGCCAATGCAATGATTTGGTTAGTGGTCACAGCAGAGTGAATGTTAGGATTATATTTACAAATTCAGAGATGACCATAGTTAATTTAGACTGAGCAAGGACTTCAAAATAGTCTATGAGTAACACTTATAATTTCATGTATTATTAAGACAACTGAGAAGGACCAAAAATAGAACTGTGATGTATAAAGAATACTGATGTATGAGTATCAACTTGTTGGATATGTGTAATAAAAATGTTGTTGGAGTAATAGTTACGTAATGTTCATGCTATGTATTACTTGAGTTCTTTTAACATTTCTGCAGCTGATAGTATAAATGCATCTTGTCTCTTGAAACAGTTAATGAGACTCCTCAGAGTAGCAGCTGCGAATGATAAAAAGTATTTTTGGCACTTTTTTAATTGAGCAAATCCTTTGTCATTGTCAGATTTGCTACTGTCATCAACAGCATCAAAGCTATAGCTTCGTCTATGAGATCTTCACTCAATAATTCTGTAGCAATTCTTGACCTATTGTGTGCCAAAGAAAACAATCGAGTCAGTTCAGGAAATGGTTTTTCTAAATATTAGCCTTTGCTGCAATATCTGGATCTAGTATACAAAAATGAAACTATAAAAGTGAACAATAATTTTTATGCCAAGGCAAAATTGGAGATAGACTTACTAGAAAAATTAGAGCTCTTGCTTCTCTGTGAATAAAAAGTGTCACAAGTTCCACCACACCGCCAATAGGAACAGAATAATTTAATACTGACTCAGTTCTGTCATGGGATGCTGTATGCGGTGATGAATATGAGATGGATATGATGCACTTTGGCGGAAGAAGCCAATTGTTTTGACCAAATTTATCCGTATCTTTTTGTTGCAACTAGACATGTAGCCATGTATCAATAAAAATAATATTATTATGCTAAATAATAATGTTATGCATACTTTGCAGGGCATATGATCTGAGGCTGGATAGTCCAAACATTATTTGTTTTAATGGCACTGCTTGAGTCAAGTTTTAATAGCAGCTCAAAAAACTTTCCTGCCATTTCAAACAATAAGATACATTTTGACCAGCATCAGCATATTCAGCTTCGGTATACTGCAGTGTCCAATTACAGATCTATGGACTTTATTCTTGTATTTGATATGTTACCTTATGTAAAGCATCTAATTTTTTTACAGCAGTAAAAATAGCTGAATTATTAATACCTTTTTGCTCATTATAAATCATTATAGTGTGCTCCATATCTTCATTGATATTATTAAACACTATACATATATAGACAATAAACAGTAAATCAATTCCTCATGCAAACCTCTAGTTGATAGTTTATCAGATTTATCCAATGGTTTATCACCTTCAGACTCGATCATCAGCTGTGATACCCATCAGACAATATTTACTATGCTAGTCTCACCACGCCCCTTCGGCATGGCAAGACTATTACTATGCTTAACCGAACCATAGCTACTCCAATGGGAAATTGACCACCTTTTACAGCTGTGAATGAAAGCGAATTGCTAGCAGAGCTGATGGGAGCTGTTACAAATTTGAAAAACTTTGTTTGAATCTCTTTCTTCAATCTAACACAATGCTGCAACTCTAGTTTGAATTGCTTTGGTTGTTTAGAGACAGAGATAGCATACATAGCACTAGCAAGAACAGTGTTTTCTGGAAAAATAAAAGACCCTCCTGCAAATGCAACAAGGCTTTTTTGCAAAAGGTAGACTTCCTTCTATAATACTAATATTAGGACCATAATTCTTCCAATTCATTTGGTGAGCATTTTCTCCTTGAAGTAAAATATTTTTTCTCCCAGCAATGAGACAACTCCCTATGTCATCAAGTTTATCTATAATTAATTACATGATTATACGTGTACATGTAAGCTATTGACATGATCGACTAACCTTGTAATGGAACCAGGTAATCATGCAAAATACTATTGCCACAAACTGACTTGTGAAGTTCTATTAATCAACAATATCACAGCCACACTAGGCATACGTACGTGTATATCTAACCTCATAATATATTATGTCTTCCCATCTTTTTTCAAGTTCTCCACTTGATTCACCAATTCTGGAAATCTATGATTATATGTGTAAAGCAAACAATTCAATTTAGAAATAGAGCCATCGTTGTTTTCATTAATTTTATATAATTGTGATTTATCAACTCACCTAGTATGTACCAGTCATCTTCCATTGGTTTAAGTACTGCATGCTGCTACTTTACAAATTATGTCTACAGAAATGAATAAAATTTTTCATAGCCCTAATGCCTTGTGGAGACAGTTCCTTAACTAATTCTAACTAAATTACACCAAAATTTTATTGCCTAACTGGCTTACAAGGAGTTTTAATGCTTATGTGACTAATTGTATCAACCTCCTTATTTAGTAGCTTTTTAATGTTATGGTCTTTTTATTATTCTGCCTTGTATTGCCTTCATTCTGTCTTGTAACATATTGCTATGTGCAGGAAATCCTTCTCTCTGGCTTTTTCTAGCTACAAGTATACAATATGCTGCATGCATGCCTATAGTCTGGCTAATCAGACTTGTCCCCAGCCTACGTACAAATATGTTATTATTATTTCCGTGCCAGTTCAAATTTTTCTAAAAGTTCAGCTTTCTAAATAAATTGATAATGAATGGTATGGATGGTAATCGTCTAAATCAAACCTCAAACTTCATCCTGTTATTCTGTTCCTCTAATGAATTCAATAATTCCAAACTTAAAAGATGTGTTCTAAATGAAAGTAATATGACCTGATCAATGTAAAGTATCCTCAGTGTGACATAGTTAGCTCATACATCACTTATATACTTATGTTACTGAATATATAATAGTCATACCTTTGTCATTAGTGTATAACAAACAAGCCATTCTTCCTGATGACTAGATAAAACAATAGCCTTTTGATGATTAGTACACTCTGGAAACTCAGTACAAATCATGGACACATATTCTGGATTATTCAGCTTGCTGAAATGAGGTCTTGGATGAACACTGGAACAATAAAATCCAATAAAAATGGAGGAGCCTTATCCCGCAAATTGAAAATAACTTTTTTTATAAACTTGTAAACATTAGAGAGATTTCCAGAGCCGCCAACAATTTGAATATTCAAATATGAAAAATGAATCATAGCTCTAATGATTCTATTGCGAGAATGAAACTTGATGTGGTTGTTAAAACAAATTGACTCAAGAATAATCAGTAAGGGACAACCAGTATTATACACGCACAACAATAATAGCTAAACTTAGAAACAGTTTCTTTGGGAAGCTCAGTAGCCAAGGCTGAAAGTACAGTAATAGGATTAGAAGTGCCTTAAATTGAAACAGAGTGGGATTTTTTGTTTTAATTTCATCTTCAGTAATGCAGTATGAGTATCAGCTATTTATAGGAAATTTGGAATAAAATAATTTTTTGGATCAAAGTGTAGTATATTGTAATCTTTAAGAAGGTTAATAATAAAAGCCATTTCAATAGGTGAGTGGCTTGTCAGTGAAAGAACTTGATCCAGATCATGCCTTGATACTATTCCTATATCAGAAGTAGCCTTGTTTATGAAGGATATGGCATGCATTGTACCCGTTATGGTATAAATAAAAGAGCTGATATCAACAATAATTAAATCCTTGAAACCTTTGACTTCCTTGAAATAAAGAAACAAACCAATTTCTTGAGATCTAAAATTGAGAATTTGAGGTATTTCTTCTTGCAATGTTTTAGGAATTTCAGCCATTTTTATCACTCTTTATAGTGGACAAGACCGCCATGGTACCAAAGCTTGTAAAGGAATGATGATGAACAAAAGAGTGAAACTGCTACAGCAGATGAACTTTTTTTGTAGCTCTCTACTAATAAAAGAGGATATTTAACTCAGTTCCTCCTCATTTTTATCCATGTTATCAACAGGAACAAAAATAAAACTAGTTGCATCGTCAGCGATTAGAAAACCATTAGACAAAAAGTTAGCCTGTCCAAAATACTTCCTGAGCTCTGTATCTGTTTGACCCAAAGACATGCGGTTGTCATCAATTAAGTCAATATTCATAGCTAGCTAGTAGGATTCCTCTGCTATTATAAGATCGAACATCATTGTAATGTGATAATAACTGATGCAAAAACTGAACTGGAGCATATCATACTTCAGAACATTCATCTTTAATGTAGGAGAGTTTTTTAGTGAGATCAACTGATATATCAAAAAAACCAAGTAAAAGATTTGTCCTTGGAAAAGGTAGAACAATGCATATTACAGCTCATATTGCTGGACTTTGATATCTATCACATCATTTGTATAGTCCTCTATAACAAAAAACATTCAACTGTGTTTATGAAAATCATGCACCCATACCGTCGTCTGAATTATTAGAAATAACATCTGCAAAATCAGCCTATTTCTTTTCATTTTTTACATTAATGATTTCTTTATTTAACCGTTTGGTAAGAAAAAACTTTCCAACTTGTGGTGGTCTAGAAACAAAGAACTTAACATTCCATGGGGATTTCATTTGTCCTGGAATAAAATTTAATTAGTAATAATTATTAACGACTTGATAGGTCTATGTACCATTAAAAACTATCATCATCATCACTTTCATTATCAGGCTCTCTAAAAGGACAAGCCACATTATTCTACAAGTATGACAAAAAAAGTTAATACTATTATAACTATTTCAGATGGTGTCTTATCATCTTAAAAAATGATGTCATGAAAAAGGTAATGTAATTACACATGCCAACATACCATGTTTCTGATTCTAACAGAGGCCTGCTTCTCTAGCAAAGCTTCAAAAACCTAATAGCTTCTGGTCTTGACAGCATAGGGAAGTGCAGTATTTCTCTTCTACAAAAGAATTGATGCTTAAATTGGCTCAGGTTATAACTAGAATTTCTGTATACATGTAAAATGATCCTCTTTCAGTATTTTTGAACAAAAGAAGGTACATGTGTAGATGTATAACATTATCATATAATTTTTGAAGGTGCAAACAACTATGTTTTTTTGTAACACTGACCAAAACAAACATACACAGTGCACGTACAGGGTATTTCATCAAATGACTATATAGAATCAATTTCATTACCCTTTCTGATAGAAAAACATGTACATATACTCACAAACAAATTTTAAGCTGATTCAGATCAAATCAGATTTTTTTATAATTTTAAAGTTGCTCAAAACTCAGGCCAAGTCCCTACAATTGCCAAAAAATGACTCGGGAGAATGCTCTAATTTTAAAATTTTACTTGATAAATATACAAGTCTGTATGTTGTGTAGAAAATTATTCATAATGCAGATCAAATTTAGTTTTTTGAATTGTTAAATATCATGCCAAAGTTTTTGTACTAATATATGACCCTACATAGAAACAAAGCCCATTGTTGAATTCATACAGAAACTTAGGCCAAATTTTGTCAAAAAATGTATTTGATAGAAGTCTTCATTTTTCTCATTTTTGTAGCAATTTTGAGCTTACAGAGGAGTTTTCACAATTTTAAAGTTGATCCAACATTGCGCTTCAGTTCCTTTTGGCCAAAATTTGTCAAAATTACAAGGGAGCATTGAAGTTTTAACCCATAATCCCCACACAAAAAATTTTTGATCAGAATCGGCTTAGGAGAGTCTTCAACATTTGTATCTTTTTATGATGTACTGATATTGCAAAAAAATTTTAAGCAATTTGGCCAAAAACCTTGCACTATAGTGCATTGTCTTGGGCCAAATTTTGCTGAAATGGAAAAGTAGAGAATTCTCCATTTAAAATATTTTTCTCTCGTGCGTATAAATGATCTTGATTTCGATCATAATCAACTATAGTTTTTAATGTTGCTCAGAAATTGGGCCAAATCTATTCTGTACAAGAAAATTGTACATTTTTATAATGGTTAAATATATCATCTTGTTTTATTATGCATGCATTAAGTTTAAGCTGATTAAAAGTCATAACTTTAAATCACAGAGAAACAAACGTACTCATTATATTAAACAAATTTATATGACTCACAAAAGTTTTATTATTAATCAGCGTCCCAGCTCCATTTTTTAGAAGTTCAATGGCAATTCTAACTCTCTTAGTCTGGCATGCAATGTGCAATGAAGATTCATTAAAGAAAAAATGTTTTCCCATTCTTGACCCAGTTCCTCATGGTCATTGTAGCAAGCATAGTCAAGAGCATTGCAACTATACTAAAAAAGACAATAAATATAATTATTCACAAATTATTGTACTTGCCGACTCTCTAGGCGTTCTCAGTTTACCATTTTCAAGAAGAATCTTCACTATTTCTGTGTGCATGCATGTCCTTCCCTTTATGACTAGCAATAACAATAGTGTACAAAAGAGCTGATATATAGTAAAAAGTAAATTCAGTATACTAGCATACATGTTTTATTTTCATACTTTTCCAGTGTGTTTACAGTTTAAATTTAAGTTTTCCTTCCATTAATCAACTGCATCATCTTGTCTGACTCACCATTCAAATAATATTTATATAACTAACATAAAGCACATAAAAGGTTAGTATTTTGAATCATATTACCTTACCTTAATTAGCTGACATTTTTGGACTGACACACTCCAAACAGAACCAGTGACCAACTAAAGACTACATGATAATAAGGTTTGTGGTTTTATATGGCATAAGGTTTCATAGATCTAATCATTATGATTCATCCATCCATCATACATGTAGTTATTAGTATGTACCATGTAGACAACATAAGTACAAAATAATTCAATGATATTTTTTAGAACAAAATTTACTGATCTTTCTCTTAATCATTCCTAATTCAGAAAAAAAAATCATAGGAGCTACAGTACATGTACAAACTAACTTTTAGTATGTACTCAATATAATCATAAACATGCAAATGAGTCATCAGCTTCTCACTTATAGTTTTTGAATAGTTAGTTTAAAATGGTCGTTATTCTTATGTTTAACTTTTAAGGAATTAAAATAAAATAAAAAAATCAATAAATAACAATTCGTTTATTAAAATAATCACAAATATACAAAAATCCATCTTTATCAAATGCTAATCCATAAGGACAACTAAATTGATCTAAATCACTGCCTTTACTTCCAAACCTATTAACAAACATGCCATCAGTAGTGAAGACTGAGATACGATTATTGCCCATTTCACTAACATATACTAGACCAGTAACTGCAGTGTCTATTGTTATACCTATTGGACCATGAAGTTTTCCATAGCTAAAAAATTTATTACCAAACTGACCCAAAAACTTCCCATCTGGAGAGAACTTTTGAATGCGATGATTTTCAGTATCAGCAACATACACTAATCCTTCACTATCAATAGCAATGTCATGTGGTAACTGAAACTGTCCATTAACTGACCCCTTACTACCAAATGAATGAGAGAAAGTTAGATCAGGATTAAACACTTGTATACGATGGTTTCCATAATCAGCAATATAGGCCTGTCCCGTAATAGGAGAAATAGCAATACCATGAGGAGTATCAAATTCTAGTTGCCCACTGCCATATTCACCAGCTGAAGCTACTTGGTATCCATCCATGCTTATCATCTGGATACTATGACAATCAGACACAAGAATATTTTTTTCTGGAGTAATGGCTATACCATGTGGAGAAGAAAAAGTAACATTATTATTTCCACCTTTCCCTCCAAATATTTTCATTTTTTCCCCTTCTTTATCCAAGATTGTCACACAATCACCAAAATACTCAGTTATTATAACATCATCATCACTTACATTAATTTTCCAGGGATTATTAAGCCCAGTAATAGCACATACTGGAGAAATATTATCAAGGTAAGGATTGATCGGGATAACTATTGAAGTATCTTCAAGCTGTACACCATATACTTGTACTTTGATTGTATGAGTACCACTGGTTGAAGGGTTACACTGTATCCTATATGCTTTCGAATCAGTACCAGTGGTAGTGACTGTAGTATAAACTGGTTGATCACTTTTACGAATTGGTACCAAACTACACCTGAGTGAAGAGAGGGGAACTGACAAAATAGATGAATCTGGAGCCTCCATTGATAGTGAAAACAAAAATTTCTTTTGTTTTGGTACATGTTGAAAGCACTCAACTTTCTTCACTCTACATTGCTGTAGCACAGTAGATGAGTGCGTCACAATATCTCCAATGTGGTGTAATGGCTTGGTATCTTTACTCAACATAAAATCAGCTTTTTCTCTTGGATATAATTTCTCAATATTTATCTGTGCAGTAACTTCACTCAAACGCTCCATCAACTGTCTTTTAGACCCTAGAAGTTGTTGAGGACTGCTTGTCTTTAGGCTCTTGTCAACACAGTCCTTAACATTTTCCAAAAGATTCAAATTCATTTCTGCTGATTTCATTTGATCTGAAAGCCTTGCGATTTTAGCATCAGTGACCCTTTTTGCCTGTTCAGTCAGTTTTCGTTCTGACTGACGAAGAACATTTATCATTTCTTCTACCATTTCATGTATTTCTTTTAAAACTCTTTCTCCTTTCTCTCTGATTTCACCATCTCTTTTTGATAATGCAGACAGAACCTTCTTGAGTGCTTCCTTCTTTCCCTCAACTCGTAATAAAGATTCTCTTAACGTATGACAGTGCTTGGGGTAACTGTCAGTGATCAATTCACATTGATGATGTTTGTGATTACGATATGAGCAGTTAATACACACTACTGTATCACATGATTCACAAAATAGCTCCAAAGGCTTTCCATGATCGCCACATGTAGATCTAGCTTCTTCAGGATTGGATAAATCTGTTGACTTTTTCATTAAGCTATACAACTCTTTGAGGTTGTTGAGAGTGAATGCAGCAGGCAGGGCTGGCACTCCTTCTTCTGGTAACTCAGTATAATGACGACAAGTTGGGCAGAAGAGGTAATAGATTGTATTCCTCTTATCCAGTGGTAATCCCTCCAGACAATGCTGACAAAATGAATGTAGACAGGGTAAAGTCTTAGGATTGGTATATTGATCAAGACACACAGCACAGGTGAGCTGTTCTTCTAGTTTATGGAGAGTAGCCATAACGCCAGAGGAGGTAAATAAACGGTAGCAAATGAGTGATGAGAGAGAGAGAGAATGAGAGATTTGAATGACCAGATACACAACGAAAAATTTACATTAATGATTCGTAAATGAGGTCATTTTTGTATGTATACGGTATGTGTACATTAATGATACATGATTTGCATCTTTTTTATTTTCAGTATCATAAATGGAGTGCTACAGGAATGTATCATAACTGTATAACACATCTGTTCAAGAATCATACATGAAACTGATACCGTTTTGTTCACTAAATCTATTGGTGATCAATAAACTGACATAATGAAATTCTTGATTAAGTTTTATGAATAAATGTAGATAATCAAGTGAAAAATTAAGTGGAGTTGAATAAATGAATTTTTAACATTGATTTTGTTCATATTGATTATAAGTGATTTAATCAAGCTCAAGGTCATCCTCAATAACAAAAGGAGTCTCAGTCTCCTCCTCCTGCAGTAGCACCTCATTATAATCATTACCTTGATTATACCCTCGTCTTCAGCTATTACTTCAACCCAGTCTATAGTTTCTTCATTGGGATAATATAACTGAAGCCATTTTCTATAGTTCACCCAAGTAAAGTTATTTTTACTGTCAGGATTTAAAGATTGGATATACTTTCGCTAAAGTGACAACAATAAAACAACTCATTAATATTGTAATTTATTATAGTAAGATTTACTGCTATTGCCACATGACGAACAAAAATATCCTTTATAGAAGCTGGTGCTTTCATAGACTTCATCAAAGACTCGCATACATCCAAGGTGTTCTTGCTTTTATAGCATTCATAGGGGCTATTGCCAAGCAACTATATCACACATAAAAATGGTGTGTTATTTTGGCACATCATCATGTGTTATTCTGTTGTCCCAGATTTTAACACGCTACACATCATGTTAAAATGACACACTTTGTAAATGTGTTATTTCAACATAATTAGTGTGCTAATACAACATATTAGCGTGCTGAAATTGATGTGCTGTTTTAACTCATTGCAGTGTGCTTGTCGAATAATATTAATAACCATCGACTAATAGTTAAATAATCATAATAGACTAATAGTTATAAATGTTAAATAACTAGTCCCGCCTATTGGCGCCTATATGCCGTGCCACGATCACAGATCCTCTACTACTACTCTCTCCTCATGCTCCTCGATCCTC